GATATCCCTCAGGTGAGGGAGGGGCTCCCCGATATTCCCCAGGTGAGGGAGGGGATCCCCGATATTCTCCAGGTGAGGGAGGGGCTCCCCGATATTCCCCAGGTGAGGGAGGGGATCCCCGATATTCTCCAGGTGAGGGAGGGGCTCCCCGAAATCCTCCAGGTGAGGGAGGGGATCCCCGATATTCTCCAGGTGAGGAGGGGGCTCCTCGAAATCCTCCAGGTGAGGGAGGGGATCCCCGATATTCCACAGGTGAGGGGGGGGCTCCCCGATATTCCCCAGGTGAGGGAGGGGATCCCCGAAATCCCCCAGGTGAGGGAGGGGCTCCCCGATATCCCTCAGGTGAGGGAGGGGCTCCTCGATGTTCCCCAGGTCAGGGGAGGCTCCCCCAAATCCCCTGGGTCGGGAGGGGCTCCCCGATATTCTCCCGGCTCAGGGGGGCTCCCCGAAATCCCCCAGGTGAGGAGGGGGCTCCTCGATATCCCCCAGGTCAAGGGGGGCTCCCCGATATTCTCCAGGTGAGGAGGGGGCTCCTCGAAATCCTCCAGGTGAGGAGGGGGCTCCTCGAAATCCTCCAGGTGAGGGAGGGGATCCCCGATATTCTCCAGGTCAAGGGGGGCTCCCCGAAATTCTCCCGGCTCAGGGGGGGCTCCCCGAAATCTTCCAAGTGAGGGAGGGGCTCCTCGATGTTCCCCAGGTCAGGGGAGGCTCCCCCAAATCCCCTGGGTCGTGGGGGGGCTCCCCGAAATCCTCCGAGTCGGAGGGGGCTCCCCGATATTCCGCGGGTGACGGAGGGGCTCCCCCAAATCCCTTGGGTCGGGGGGGGGCTTTCCGGTATTCTCCAGGTGAGGGAGGGGCTCCCCGAAATCCTCCAGGTGAGGGGGGGGCTCCCCCAAATCCCTTGGGTCGGGGGGGGCTCCCCGATATTCCCCGGGTCGGGGAGGGGCTCCTTGATGTTCCTGAGGTGAGGGGGGGGCTCCCCCAAATCCCCCGGCTCAGGGGGGGCTCCCCGATATCCCCCAGGGGGGTTTGGGGGGACCCCCTGAGTGAGGATTGGTCACCG